AGTTCACCCCGCAGCTGAGAGTTCGCGCTTCTATCAGTTTAGCCACCCGGACCATCTAAGCGGGGTCATTGCCATGGCAAGGGGAGGCATTGGAGCCGAAAAGTGACGTCAAGTGGCTATTTGAGCCATTGAGGCCCATTTTGGACCATGATGTTTTCCCCTTCTTCTATAACGCTTGCTGTTTTTTTCCCTCATGTATCGTGGTCAATTATATCCTGTTGTCTTCACTGTGCTTCTTCGTCTTGCATGCGACGGCGTGCCAGGCAGACAACGCTTCCCTGCAAGAAGCAGGCCGGGATTAGTTTTGTGTTTGTTCCTGCCTTGCGCGACAGCGGATGAGTGGCCTGTTGTTCCGCGAATTCACCGATTCGGGGACATTCTGCCCATGAGGGAGGTCCCCCCACTGAGGGAATTCCTTAGAGCCTATTTTTGGATTGTAGTATGTAATTTGCTTCAATTGTTGCTTCTTATTTTTCGGAGTTGAAATGCAGTCAAATGAGCTCCCCTTTGTTGGAGGGCAAGTATAGGGCATCTTGATTCGAACCTGCCCCAGTGCTAGTGTTTCCGTCTTCCCGTAAAGTGAACATGGAGCCAACAGAATTCTAAGGGTTAACACGCTGCCCAACTCCATCTTTTTATATGTTTTATTGCCTGTGCCTAGTTTAGACGCATGCATTTGCCTTGAGTCGCAACATGTTCACGTCAAACAAGTCGAGACGCACACCTTCTTCATCATACGCCCTTTTGGGTTTGTCGCTTTGTAGAGGTACCTTTCTTTTTTGTGCGTGTTTGAAAGGGACACCGGCCTTCCTTTCGGTGAGGCTAATTGAAAGAGAAACAGGGGCTGTCAAAACTGCAGACACATGTGCCTCCGGGTACCTGACAGAAGCAAACAAGCAGGGCCAAGGCAGCAACAGGAAGGTGTTCGGCGCGTTGTCCGATTCAGTAAGAGGAATCGGCAGAGCCATCCGCGCTCGCAAGTCCCTCTTTTTGTGTTGCCTAAGTTCATCGTTTGGTTTGAAGGAGTTTTCCCTAAATGCGAACCCAGGATCATTCAACCAGTGGCTTTGAATTGCCTCTTATGGGATCTCTTTTGAAATAGTTTTGCACTTTAGGGTCACCAGACGTCATCATGGACCGGAATCAAACCATGTTTGGTGGGAAAAAGCTGAGCTACGAGGAGTCCAGTCGAGAGTAGGGCAACTGACATGATGTTTTCCTCCGGAACATGCGCAAGATGCCACCCTTCCCGAAGGTTGTGTTTTGTATTCGAATGTGATTTCTTCTATGTAACTCCGGGATGGCACTTCATAGCCTGCAACCGGTGGGAAGAAACAAGCATCGCTTGGAATGACTCCTTAAGGGTTTCCTCATTCCTCAAACAGAAACTCTCTGTGGGTTCCATCCAAATCAGCAATGTGTCATAGGGTAGGGATCCTGTATGTTTGGTCGATGAAGTATAGCAACTTGCCAAGGTAGAATAACTGAGGAAATAAAACAAACATTCAAACAAACAAACATACAAACATACAAACATACGATTCAGCGACAACCACGCGGATCCCACTATGAGTTGTGTTTGCTTCGATCGTAACCTGTGATTTGGTTTCCTCCTACGCCTTCTCCCAGGCGCCCAGCTGTCCTCGAGCCTTCGCCTGGGCTTCCTTCACCCGTCGGGGGCTGAGCCAGCGGGGGGTGAACATAGGCCGGATACAACCGGTGTCCAAGCAGTCTTTTTGCGTTGTGCGTTTAAAGGGAGTGCCACACCAAAAGTCGAAGTTTTAGCAAGGGCACAACGTTTGTGAGATGGTTTCTGCCAGGTAAATCCACCGATTTCATTTGGGACTCCTTTGGATTCCTTGCTTCAGGTGTTTGAATTATAGAGGTGTTTGTTTGCCTGGACTCAAGAGTCTCTTCCTTTTTTACCCTTAGCTGAAAGCTATGGGGTCGATGGGCCCAGATCAGCTTTAGAGGGTCCGGGCTAGGGTTCCGGAAGGGTAGGGGTTGCTGTGGGGGATCGGGATCGGCACGGAGTCTGAACTTGAAGTGCTTTCAAGCGATAGTCTGGCGGAAAACGGGTCCTGGGAAAGGGGGCCCTGTGTCCTGAAAGGCGCGCAAGTGCTTGGCTTCCTTTTGGCTTTTTTCTTCGAAAAGCCATCCCAAAACGCTTCCTTCGCGGGCGTCCTTCGCGGGATGGAACTTGGGCAAGCGACCTGACCCACAAAGGTCCCTTTTTTCAGGCTCCATCGACTGGCCGGATCATGTTTGGTCCACAAGGGGTTTCTTTGAGTATTTGAGGATGGAACTTACGTCGGAGGCCTTTCAAGTGGTTGGACATGAACCATGTCCTTCCAAGGTCCAGCAGTCCCCAATGACGAAAGGTTAGTGTGCCAATGAAGTTTCAATCTAACCCCCCCGAAAAGACCCCCAAATGAACGAAATGACGAGGTTAGGAAGAGGCTCCAAAAGCTTCGAAGGACTACACAGACGCCCCGGCGAGGCCTTTGTCCGTGGAGTGGCTCACGCCAGGCCGCCCTCACTCGAGTTTGAGCGAGGGGGGGGGGGGAGAAGTGGATCCCCTGACTCCTCTGCACCCCGATCCAGCTAAAATAGACTGAAACCTTTACTGCACAAAGAAGCGAAATGTGTGCAATAATGTCTTATTCTTTAGATTGTGAACCTCCAGTGCCCCGAGGTCCATTGAGCTGAATTTTACAGAAGCCAAATGCCATTCCTTTCTGCGGAAGGTGCTTCTAGCAGTTCTAGCTACTGCTGATTGAGCGGCGATATTTGTCGGAGTGGTTCAAACTCAAACAAGTGATTCCACTTTGGGCTTCTTCATATCCCCACCCCCTTCCTCCTGGCGTGTAAGAAGACAGAAGTACCGGTCTATTGCAGATGATCTGAGCCCTTGCGTTTTGGGCGGCCTTGACCATTTGTTGTTTCGTTGCCACGGTCGCAGGCTTAACAGACCTCACACTCAGGACGCTTGGGTTGGCATTCAGCTCCTGAACTGCTCCAAACCTTGGCTCTGTCGTCAAACATCGGGGCTCTTTTCGGGCCCAACACATTTAAAGCCAGCTGTTGTGTGTTTTCACCGTTTTCCCTGTCAACCAGCATTTGTGTTTCACGAATTCCACTCGTGCGCACTTTCCTTGTTGCTTCCACATGCCGCACAGAACTCACGACGCATCGGCGCCCCACAGCGCAAGCGGTACGTATTGCAGTTAGGGGTCTCAAGACACGCCGTGGCCATCGGAGAGCAGGGTCCAGAGCATTGGTTCGGTTCGTTCCTCTTTGAGGTAGCCAAACTGGTCCCCGAAAAGTGGCACAAGGACTACCCGGGTGGGGCGGCAGAGTGTCATAGCAGAGGCGCGCTGCTGGTTTTGGCTCTCAGCTAGTGAGGATGCATCAAAAAGCCCCATGAGATTTGTTCACCGCGACGCAAGCGGGAGCATGTCAAAAAAAGGCAGGCATGTAGCTGTGATCTGAAGTTCACTGTTTATGGTAATTGTGGCTCAAGCCTGAGTCTTTCCAATGTTACAAAGTCTCTTTTACTTGGGTCTTCCCAGAACTGAACGTTCCCCCGGTTTCTGGGCGGTCTCTTGTACCCCGCAGACGCTATGGATCCGAAGGCGCGACAAAGCCGTGGGGTCGAAGAAACCAGTGCGGCGCGCGAAGGGGGGGACTGGGGTGGTGTCCAGTGATAGCAAGTTGGAGACGAACAGCTGGAAGCTATCTGGCCCACGAACTTGTCTTTGCATTCATCTTGCTCAGGTGGATCGTGTTTTTTGACAGGATCCCTTGATATTCACTGGGAGGGTTGCAGATCAGGCGTCACTAAGATCGATTGTCAAAGTGAAGCAAGCAGCCTTTAAGGGGGTCTTGGATTCTCGGTTAGGCGAATGTTTGGGATTGGGTTTCCATGGCTTGCCCCCCCTTAAGCAGCCAACAAATCTCAACTTCCACCCAGTGACCTTCCTTCATCAAGATCGTTTAGAGCTAAAGGCAACAAATATATCACTTAAATGGGCGCTAAATAGCCCGATCCAAGGAAACCAACAGTGGATTGGTGTTTGTTTCTTTGCTTGTTGGTTTTGTAAAACACACACGACCCGCAGAAGCCCCTCCCATTTCCTTCCGCACGCCACCTCTACCAACTCCAGGCAGAGCTACGGCAGTTCCTCCGCACCAAGTGCGGGAACCTCAAGGCGCCGATCCGTCGATTCGTCGGAGAAGTGTCGGCGAAAACTTCCCCCGCGCAACCCAACCCCCCCGCCCCCCCCGCGGCCCCCAACTAGGTTTCGACTTCTTGTTCTTTGGGCGCATGTTTGGCTGGGCGCTGGTTGCTTTGAGGTTGCTTCTTACCTGTTGTCTAGCACTTTGTGGGTTCACATGGGCATTGGCATACTTGTGGGAGCGGAGGTTTGTTTGCCAAGGACTCGGATGTCCTTTAACGTGGCAACATAGTCTTAGGGATGGCCCATGTTGGCATCAAGGAGAGGGCTAGCTTCCACAAACATTGGATTTGTGTCTTTCAGGTTGCCACATTCTGAGATACTCTGTCGTGCAAACTCCTAACTTCCGCAATCTTTGTCCGTATGTAATCCACTTTGACCATAGAAAATGATATCCCATACTGAACGGCAGGTTGCTGGACTGCCATCTGATTTGTCGCGACAAGGGGTTACAAAACCTCTTTGGAGCAAACAAACAAGAACGAAATAAGAAGCAAACTGATTGCACTTGTGTTTTGGAGACAACATGTATCGCTACAACATGTGTTGTTTTCTGTTTCTGTTTTTTTTCTTGAAAACAATCATATTCTATCCAACATACATTCATATTCAACATCTGTTTTTTTTTTGTTTTTTTTTGTTTTTTCGGAAGATGACATATTCCGAAACAGCAACAACCAGCAACAAGCCAAACTTTGCAGGCGTCAACAACTCCAGTTTAGTTCGCCAACAAACAACACGATCCAAACTCGACCCCGTTGGATGCCCATGGCGAAGAAAGAGGCTCGTGTAGACGCCACTCTATTTGATATGTAGCCACGAAAGAATTGCTTTGATGCTTGCAAGCTCTGTCAAATTTTCGTTTGGGTCTACTGGGGTTGTGTGGGTGAGGATTTCAATGCGTCACACTTTGGACATCAACATTCGGAGACACATGTCAAACACTCTAGTGATCGCCCATCGCCTCTCCACCAACCACTTTGGAGGTTCCCTAGAGACAACCACTTGAGTTCGGTTCGAAGAATTTCCATGGACGTGGTTGCCAGTTTCGGGAAATGGCACACCTGTCAGAGGCTTCTCGGGCGACGGCCAAGCTTGTGTTTCGAACCAATGGGTCCATCTTTTGTTGAGGGTCCTGGTTAGGTTGGTTTGAAGGGGAATCAAAAGGACAGCCACAGATTGATCTAAGTCCAAGTCCCTCTTGGTGAACCGCTGTTTTTCCTGGTGGTTTCCCTTTATGTCCTGGCGCTGTCGGATGCTTCAGGCGGCCTTTACTGACCTCGCCGCTTGGCTCGTTGCCGGAAGGTTGGCATTCCAGAGAAAAGGAAGCAAACCATGGGCTGTGGACCACTTGGGATGTGTGTTTTAGGGCCTTTGGTGCTGATGATTTTTAACCGGAAACTAAGGACACATAACAGCATCTTGGATCTTGGGGCTCCAAATGCACCATTTCTTCCTGGGGCTTTCCCATCTAAACATCAGTAGTTGCGTGGCACCCTTGCAAAGCTCTTTTTGTGCAAGGTGGCGTCACTCAACCCAAAACACATGCCCTTTTCTACCAGGGTGAAAGAACCACTCCAAAGCTCTGCCTGTCTAAGCTACGAACGCGCTTGCGATAGGGTCAAGGGAACAACTGAGAAGTTGGTTTACACTTTCCACTTCCAAGTTCCGGGGGTTGAATGGGATACTCAGTTATCTCAGTTGTTCAAGACTGACATTTTGATCTTTCGGATGTCCCATGTTGGGGCATGTTTAGTCATGTCCCCAAAAGGCTAACCCTTTAGGCAGGATATACAACACTACATTGCAACTACATGAAAGTTGAGTTTAGCTCGCTCGTCCTTGGGGGTGGCTTGGAGTTAGTGCAGAAAACATCGGGCGCCTCGCACCACACACCACATGGTCACGTGTTTTTCTTCTGGTGCAGAAAACATCCGGCGCCCCGCACCACACACCACAAGGTTGGTCACGTGTGTTTCTTCTGGTATGGGCGTGGTTGGAGGTATTCCCAAAAGAGACGCGTCATTCTGTTGTTTTTGGTTGGCAGCCAGATGTTGGGCTTGGGAGCACTGCTTCATGGCGACTCCCGTGGTTCAATCCAGGTATTTCCCCTAAGGTAGGGGGCCCCTTTTGCACGCCGGAAGAAAACCAACCAGTCGCCAAGTGGGAGTTGCCAGGTGCCCTGTTCTGTTCTCCCGCTGCTCGTTCAGAACGCCGCCAAAGCTAATGTGTTTGCATTCTGAGACATTCCAGCAACGTCCCAGCATCAGGGCTCCGTGTTTTTGGCCTTTTTCCGAGTGGTTCAACACATGTTTAAGCATCACTTGTTTAATGACCCAACTCTTGGTTGGCTTTAGGGGTACCAGTTCCCGGTTGACTGCAAGTTTGCCGTCAGTCCTGGCCCTCACGATTTTTCCTATGGTTGTCAGGGGCCGGGCAATAGCGACAAAGAAGGTCCAAAAGGAGCTACTAGGGTTCCTGCCTGTTGTTGTTTGGGGGGGGGATTCCGTGACTTGCATGGGAATCTCTCATGATTTCCAGCTCGGTCGACATTCTCTGGCGAGAAGTTTAGGACCTCACTGAGACGGGCCAGCTGAAACGCCCCTCGGCAGAGGATCTATGTGATGGAATTTCGGACATAGAATTGACATGGGAAGAAAGAGATTGCGGATGTCTTTTTGCATGTGGGCAAGTTGTTTTTTTGGGGGAAACCCTTTTTGGAGGGTTCGAAAGGGAGACCATAAAAGGAAGCATCTTTCCCTAGTACCGTATTGGGCAATTGATCAAGATTAGACTTCCTCCTAGCATAGCATTTGTGGGAGGGTATCTGGTGGGGATCCGTTTCCTTTTAAAGCTACCGTCTGTCAGGTGCCATGTGGGAGTGAGGGTCGGCGGTTTTGTGGGTGGATTTCGCGGGCTGAAGGCCTGGGAATGAGTTCGCCCTATCCTCCACTTGGGCTTTGCACCTCCACCTCCACTTGTGCAAATCCCTTGCGGTTATCCAGGGAAACAGAGGTAGTAACAGGAAGCACCGAACATCTTCCTTTTGCCTAGGTGGTTTGTATTCCCCTGTTGGCTTTGGACAAACGCGCGAAAACCCACGTTCTGAACTACTTTCAAAGTGGGTCCATTCAAAAGGATTGCGTAGTGGTAACCCTGCAATCCGGATCAGCCGGAAAGCCGAAAGGATAGACTCCACCCAAGCGAAGGGTCCTCTTAAAGGCACCTAGGGTTCAGCAACCAGAAGGTTACGCTTGTCTCCAGGCCTTGCAAAGCGGGGACCTCTGACTGGAA